AGCTAGCTAGCTAGCTAGATAGCTAGCTAGCTAGCTGGATGGCTAGCTGCCGAGGAATACAGGCCTGAAGAGCTGCAACGTTAAGCCCCCACCGCCAGCCGCTGCCCGACCCCCAGCAGCCGCTGACCGCTGGCTGGTTGTGTGTAGCTAGCTAGCTAGCTAGCTAGCTAGCTAGCTGGGTTTCAGGCTTATTTTTATATTTTTTTTTAAAGGGTAGTAGTAAGTAAGGGTACTGCCGCGGGGGGTCGATAGCGCCTGCTGCTGGGTGGGTTTGTTGCTGTAGTTGCTGCTGGTTTATGGCTGCTGCTGCTGCTGGTGTGCGGTGTGTTGCTGCTGCTGCTGCTGCTGCTGCTGCTGCTGCTGCTGTGTGTGTGGCTGTGTCTGAGTCTGCTGCTGGATGTGTGGTTGCTGCTGTGGCTGCTGCTGCACGTTCGGCTGCTGCTGCTGCTGCTGCTGCTGCGCGTACGGCTGCTGCTGCGGTGGCCTGGGTATCTGCTGCTGCTGCTGCACATACTGTGGCTGCTGTTGCTGCTGCTGCTGGACGTACTGCTGCTGCTGCTGTATATACTGCTGCTGCAGCAGCAAGTAGTGTTGCTGCTGCTGCTGCTGCTGATACGGTGCTGGTGGGGGGGGAGGAGGGGGGATCAACGAATGCTGCAGCGGCTTCTGCTGCAGCCGCTGCTGCTGCCATGGTGGTATAGATGGAGGTGCTTGTACACCCCGCTGCAGCAGCTGCTGCTGCAGCAGCTGCTGCTGCAGCAGCTGCTGCGGCTGCTGCTGCTGGTGCTGCTGCGTCCTATACCTGCGGGATCGACTCCGTCTCGTTGCTTGCTGCTGCATGTCTGCTGTCTGCTGCTGCCCCGGTACTGTCTTACATCTGCGGTTATGCCGCAGCACTGGCTGCTGCTGCTGCTGCACTTGCTGCTGCTGCTGCTGCTGCTGCTGCTGCACTTGCTGCTGCTGCTGCACTTGCTGCTGCACTTGCTGCTGCTGCTGCACTTGCTGCTGCTGCTGCTGCTTCTGCTTCTGCTGCAGCACATCGTCATCCTCTGATTCTTCCTCCCAACATCCATCCTCTGGTCGGCCGCTGAAGGGGCCGCTGCTGCAGCGCAGCAGCACACACTCAAAATTTCTGCTGTTGCTACTGCTGCTGCTGCTGTTGCTGCTGCTGCTGCTGCTGCTGCTGCTGCTGCAGCAGCTCAATCTGGTGCAACTGCTGCTGCAGCAGCAAGCGCTGCCGCGTGAGACGCTGATAACGCTTCACGAGTGCTGCAGCAGTAGCTCCTGCTGCAGCAGCTGCTGCAGCTGTTGCTGCTGCTGCTGCTGCTGCTGCTGCAACAGCAACAGCAGCAGCAGCTGCTGCTGCTGCAGCAGCAACTAACCTGGAGTGTAGGTAGTCGTGAGCCTTGCCTTGCTGATCCAACAAAAAGGATGCATGCGCAACGTCGCACAGCACAACAACACCCTGCAGCAGCAGCAGCAGCAGCGGCAGCAGCATCAGCAGCAGCAGAGCAGCTGCGGTACTAGCAGCAGGTCCAGTAGCAGCAGGAGCGGTTGCAGCACCAACGGCGGCCCAGCTGCT